GTGTATGTACCATAGTTTGTTTATCCATTCATCTGTTGATGGGCATCTAGGTTGTTTCCATCGTTTTGCTATTGTGAACAATGCTGCCATGAACATGGGTGTGCATATGTCTATTCGAGTGATGACTCTTACCTCTCTAGGATATATTCCTAGGAGTGGGATTGCTGGATCATATGGTATTTCTATTTCTAGCTTTTTAAGGAAGTGCCATATCATTTTCCAAAATGGTTGTATCATTTTGCATTCCCGCCAGCAGTGCGTAAGAGTTCCGATCTCCCCGCAATCCCTCCACATTTGTTATTTCCAGTGTTTTTGATTTGTGCCGGTAAGGCCGGGGTGAGATGGTATCCCACGTATGTTTTTAAACAAGACTTTGTCTCACATACTTTGGACGTTATCAGGAGGAAACGGTCCCTAGAGAGGGACATCATGATTGGTAAAGTAGAGGGTCAATGAAAAAGAGGGAGACCTTCAACAAGATGGATTGACACAGTGGCTGCAACAATGGGCTCAAACATAGCAACGATTGTGAGGATGGCGCAGGACCAGGCAGTGTTTTGTTCTGTTGTACATAGGGTCGTTATGATGGCATCTAACAACATTGACAGACGACAATTAGACCAGTGGTGTCCAAATTTTTTAATAGGAAATCCTATTAAGAAAACATTCCCCAACTCCTACCCCAAATAAGTTAAAAAATATACATGTGGCACAAATGGTTTGCACTCAACTGCTAACCTAAAGGTTGGCGATATGAATCCACCCAGCAGTATGCAGAAGAAAAGGCCTGTTGATCTGCTTCTGTTAAGATTACAGCCAAGAAAACTCTATGGAGCAGTTATACTCTGTAATACATGGGGTTGCCATGAGTTGAAATCAACTCACAGCAACTAACAACAACAATATACATGTTGTATATTACATATGTTACTTTATATATTATGCTAATATGTTATGCACATTATAAAACAAAGTAGAAATCTTTAAAGCATGAGATAAAAATTGAATAAACAGTGGTCTAAATGATTAGCCAATCATGTCTTTATACAATCATGAAGTACTATTTCCAGGCAAAATATACACTTGGGGCAAGGTTCAGCTTTAACCCTAGTAAATATAAATTCATATTTCTAATAGTCTTCTTGATAATTTTAATATCTTTCTCAATTTCTTGTCTGATTTTGCTAGATTATCCACATTTTATTTTTTAATGAGGCTGATCATGCACTCAGAACCAGGAGCAGGAGAAGCATTAGTTCTGACATGTTCTTGTGGCTTCCCTGTGCTTACATGATTAGTATTAACATCAATCTATAGCTCCTTGGCAGAAATGGTTTTAAGACATTTGTGCATTTTGTGTGTGCTCACCTGACTGAAACTAGATAATAACTCTGTAAATCCACATGACCCAGGCACATTTAAGACAGCCATATGTCCCAGGATGCTGAAAGTGAAGACGCTTGGAAGGCTCATGTCAGATTCTCATGTTGTTGAATTTCCGCTCTTCCCCAAGCACACTTCAGAATCCACAAATACCCACATGTGGCCACCAGTGTCCATCCACATATTACATAAAAATAAAGCTTAGTAACTTAATTTTAAGTCAAAAAAATAACACAAATAATATTGGAGTGTGGGAAGAAATTTTATATTTTCTGCCTGCACCCAATAGATTATCTTGCACACCACTTATATTATGTGCCCCAGATTGGAAACCTTTGAAATAGTCAATATCTTCTCCAAAAGAAGGAGTCCCCTTTAGGAAATGTAGTCAGGGCCACTGCAACCTCAAATATTCTTAAAATGAAAGGAAAATGTGCACTATTGGTAATTCTATCATTTCATCTGAAAAAAAACATTAGTTGAATAACTTAAATTAATTGTCAGCAAGATTTTATAAGATTCTTATTTCTTCACGTCAGTCTTCACAGTTTAAAATGATCACAACAAGAAAAGAATAATGAGACAGCTTCAGAGGAGGCTAAACCGCAGTATGTTACCGTGCTAAGCACCAGGACCTGTCTTAGGCATTCTGAACCCTCATTAGAAGCTATTCTTTACTGATGCAAAGCAAAAAGAAAGAAAGAACATGAACAGCAAAGTGGTGAATTTCCTCTTCCTTCTCTCATTAGCAGCTTCCCTAGGAAGTTGAAGTCCATGGCCTTCCCCTGCCCTTCCTTCTCCAGCTGGTCCTGTAACCACTGGCTGTCTTACAACATAGACCCCCCCACACCATCTTTATCACCTAATCTAGTAGCTTTTTTTTTTTTTTTGAGTTCTAAGCTAAACACCTAAGACAGCTTTCATTTTCTCATCTCACATAGAAGTGCTCGTGATCTCCAGACTGTGCTGGTCCATCTGTCTGCTCAGCAATTCTTTCTGTTTTCCTGGTCAGACAGTAGATTCCGTTTTCAACAGAAACCAGTTTTCATTAAGTCGACATTGACTCATGGTGACCCCATATGTGTCAGAGTAGAACTGTGCTCCATAGAGTTTTTAATAGCTGATTTTTTGTAAGTAGATTGCCAATCCTTTCTAGCACTTCTGGGTGGAGTCGAAACTCCAGCCTTTTGGTAGCAGCCAAGCACATTAAGCATTTGCACCACCCAGGGACTCTTAGTCTCAACAGAACCAAAAAAACCCATTGCCATCGAGTCAATTCTGACACATAGTGACTGAGTAGAACTGCCACATAGGGTTTCCAAGGGGCGGTTAATAGATTTGAACTGCTGACCTTTTGGTTAGCAACCAAGCTCTTAACCACAGTGCCACCAGGGCTCTATTCTCAACAGAAGCTGATCTAAACCTCCATTCTCCCCACAACGACGTCCTCACCACCCACTCTCAGTCAACAACTTTGCCTCCTACCTCACCGAGTAAATAGAAGTTGCCCAACAGGAACACTTTTACCTTCTAGCCAGCTGCCACTAAAGCAGTAGCATCTGCACAAGCAGATTTTCCTCCTGTCCTCTGGTTGCAATGGGAGAGACCAATTCTTCATCCTTTGCTCTAATTCCCACCCATCCTGCATCGCAGAGACCCTTCTCTATTGATTATTCCCCTCTGTCCTGCGTTTTTGACAACTCCCTCTCTCATACCATCAGACTTTTCAACTCCTATCTTGGAAGAACAGGGAGAGTCATGACCCTATTCCTGTTACTCTCCAGTTATTATCATCTCTCCTCCCCTTTATGATAAGATTTATTGAAAGGGTTGTCTGTGCTCTGTTTCCACTTCCTCATCTCCCATTCACTCCTCAAACCACTCCTATAAAACTTTCCCCACCATTCCACTAAGAGTGTTCTTGTCACTGAAAACAATGTCCTCCTTGATGCTAAAGCCAGTGGGTACTTTCCAGTTCTTACTTCATTTAATTTCTTGCAAGTATTAAGCATCGTTGACCTCTCTCTTCTACAAACATACTCTTCTCTTAACTTCAGCAACTTCTTAGTCTTTTGGTTTTCCTCCTACTTCTCTAGCAATTTTCTTTTAGATTCCTTTAGGGATGCCCCTTTTTCTGCCTGACCTTTATATATTACTATTCCTGAGGATCCCTCTCCTGGACCTCACTCTGTATGTTTACTTACCGTTGTATCTCCTGTGTCCAACACAGAACTCTCAATATCAGGTACTCAGTAAATAATGGATAATAAACGTACTCTTAAGGCTTCAATTACCATGTCTATGCTGACAATACTCAAATAAATATCTTCAGCCCAAACCATTCTTCATTTCTTGTGTCATACTCAGCATCCAAAATCAGACACATCACTTCCCTCTACCTAAGTATATCCCAGCACTGATCACACAAAATGGTAATGGCTTGTGTGGGTCCCTGACTAGAAAAGGAACCTGTCATGTTCACATTTATATCCCCAGAGCAAATCACTGCGCATGACACATTGTAGGCACTCAATGGCAGACATTTGGTAAATAAATGAATGAGATGTTTATTCCAAGAAGAATCAAAGGGGAAAGAAAAACAATTTAATTTCTCACAAATTTTAGTAAAGATTTCTGAGCAGGTCCTTAAATAAGAATATAGGAGTCTATATTCTTTTATAGTATTTGGGACCATTTACTATAAATTTACCAAGTAGAAACTTCCAGTCAATAACTATATAGTGTAGACTGATGAATGTTGAGCAGTGGTCTCAGGTCTCACTGAGTCTCAGCTCCCACTGCTGGGGGTCTGAGCATTCTCACTAAGAATCTAAGGACAATGATCTCACAGAGTTTAGCCATGGCACTCTTTGAGCCCTTTTATTCTATTTTTATCAAGTTAAAATTCACAAGCTCATGTTTCTACAGATAGATATGGTACATTACACTTAATATTCAAAACCAAATGTGCCCTGTGCAGGTCATACATCAGAGTTGAATGGCTACTATATTAATTGGAATAACAAAGTGAGTGGCGTTAATATTCAACATTTTGGATGAATGTTCTTTATTACTGTAACATTAGTCCAAATGTCCTTAAATATAAAGTAAGTCATTTTTTAAAGCCTTTTGTCTCTGTCCTTGGAACTCCTAAGTGGCTTAAGTCAAAGAAGTCCTTGGCATTCCTTAAAGTATGGTTTGAGGACCACTAGTGTATCTGAGGAGGTAGTGAAAATTCAGATTTTCTGATTCCACTATAGAGCTACCGAATCAGAACTGCTACTTGTGGGATCTAGGAATCTGCAATTGTAACAAACACTGCAGGTCATTACTAAGCATACTAAAATTTGAGACCAATCAGTTGCTGTTGAGTTCATTCCAACTCATGAAGACCCTCTGTGTGTCAGAGTAGAACTGTGTCCCATAGAGTTTTCAATGACTGACTTTTTGGAAGTAGATAGCCAGATCTTTCTTTCAAGGCACCTCTGGGTAGACTTGAACCTCCAATCTTTCAGCTAGCAGCTGAGCACATTAACCATTTGCACCTCCCAGGGACCACGTAATCTAACTTTCTAATTTCTCAGAGACATGAAATGACTTGCCTGAACATTCTAAGAAACAATTTCAGCTGTCCTGGTCCAGGGAGTTTTGTATTACTTCAATTTTCCAGGAGACTTAACAACCAGCACAGAAGATTTTAGTGATTGGCAAGAGGAAGGTTTTTGTGAAGAAGCAGATTCTAGGGGAGCAGGGTGAAAAGAAACCATTTGGTCAAGCTGTCCATAATTTACAGTGAATGTTGGGCATTGTCTTGGCAGCTCCATGGTAATAATAATATTTACTGATCTTTATTGATGCTCTATCAGGTGTTGGGCAGTATGCCATGTGCTTTATGTGCATCATCTCCTGCAATCGTCAAAACATCCCAGTGAAGTAGGGGCTATCATCCCCTTTACAGAGATGAGAAAACTATTGCTTATGAAAGTTCTTTAATTTCTCTGCAGCCAGCACCAGGGCTCAAATCCTGGAAGTCTGATTCCAAAGCTAGACTGCTGCCTTTGTTTAGTGAAAGTAAAGTAAGTGTGTCAGGCCCATTCTAGTATTATAAATTATATGATCTCACAAGTGTCTATCTGTCCTGGTAAGAAATGCAGGGGCCTAAAAATTTACCAAATAAGGCTGGTAGATTGCAATCTGTGAGCTTGAATACCCACCTGCTTACTTCTCCTTGCCTGTGATTTGGCCTTCTCCTTGTCTTGATAAACTTGGGTAAACCAATTAATATATTTAAGGGCCTTGATTTCCTCATGTGTAAAACTGAGGAATCAGACTGAAAGGCCGTTAGGTCTTTTTCAGATTCTGACATCCTTTTTTTCTGAAAGATTTTTGGTTTTGTCATATAGAATTTATGACTTGACCTGAGAGATGAAGAACTTATAATTGGGACAGATATAATTCTTTCTATGGAATGACAAAGGGCTTTTATGAATGTGTTAATGAGTATGTGACACTGATGTTTTACTTTAGCTCCTTAATAAACTGAAAAAATCAACTGAGAAGTTGGCAAAAGAAGAAGAAAATTACTACCAAAAAAACTTGGCTGGCTACTCTACCAGACTGAAATGGGAAAAAACACTAGAAAACTGCTACCAGGTAAGCTGTGCAGTCCCAGTTCTTTTTCTTCCATGGAGGCTTGCACGGCCTTGAAAATGGAGGTTAGATGTGTGCAGTTATGAGATCTGATCTCTGTCTTTAGCTATGACCCTAACTCTTAATTGTGACCTTAGACAAATCTCATATCTTCTCATTGCTTCAGTTTCTCCGTGGATACAATCACTAGTGAAAATTTATTGAATGTCATTGGCCAGAATTTCTGCTCCTAATTCTCAACAGTAGTACTCAGATAACTTCAAAAAGTACTGTCAAAGTAAAGTATAAACTAGGGCTTAGGTGTTAGGTCCTTGGAAATGAGCTTTAGGCATGAGTGCTGATTCATATAGTAACCACATATGGAGTTTTCTTGTATGCCAGGTATAGTGTTGTGCTCTGGAGACACAGAAATGAACAAAGTACCATCCCAGCACTTGAGATGCCCACAGTTTAGTAGTAAAGACTAACACATAAAGAAAGAACGGAAAGTAGAACAGAAATAATGAAAATGCTGACACATTGTGAACAGTGTAACCAATGTCACTGAACAATTTGTTCAGAATTCTTAAATGGTAGCCTAATTTGCTGTGTAAACCTTCACCAAAAACTCAATAAAATACTATTAAGAAAGAAACACTCGTAGTAAATCATCCAATAAAAATACCAAAGTGTATGAACAAGCAAATCACAGAAGAGGATATCAAAATCACCACTAAACATATGAAAAAATGCTCAATTGTTTGCTAAAAATTAAAAAGTGAGAATATTAAGTGTTGGCAAGAATGTTGGGAAACAAGAACTCTTGTTCCCCTCAAGTGAGAATGTAGAAGAATATTTATTACAGCATTGTTTATAATTCTGTGGTGGAAAAAAAAATTATACACTATTTTAATACCCATTGATAGAGAAATTATTCTTTCAAAATGTGCTCTAATTTAAAAAGTGGATTACCAATAAAAGAAATAAAACTATACTTAAACATGATCAATCTCAAAAGCATGATGTGAAAGAAACATACCATTTATACAATCTATGTAAATTAATTTTAAAAAATCACACCCCAAACTATACTGAGCTGTACATGTGTGCTTGTAAAGGTATACATATAGAGTAGATCTATGTTGACCTATCAGGAAAATAGAGCTCATCGTGGGAATCAAACTCAAAGTCATAATCTCCTGAAGGAGAAGTAGGATTTCCTTCCACCCCTCTTGTAACCTGATTTTATTGCTACCACTATACTGAAAACAAAAGTCCCTGGGTGGTGCAAACAGTTAATGCGTTCAGCTGCTAACCAAAAGGTTGGAGGTTCGAGTCCATCTAGAAGTGCCTCAGGAAAAAGTCCTGGTGATCTACTTCAGAAAAACCAGCCACTGATCAGCACAACTTGACCAAGGCAAAGTCATAGAAGATTCATAGACACATCCAAACTCCCGGAGGGACCGAGTTACTAGGCTGAAGGCTGGGGACCATGGCTTCGGGGGACATCTGGCTCAACCAGCATAACATAGTTTATAAAGAAAATGTTCTACATTCTACTTCATTGAGTAGTGTCTGGGGTCTTAAAAGCCTGTGAGCAGCCATCTAAAATACTCCCCTGGTTTCACCCCACCTGGAGCAAGGAAGAATGAAGAAAACTAAAGACACAAGGCAAAGATTAGTCCAAATGACTAATGGACCACAAGTACTACAGCCTCCACCAGACTGAGTCCAGCACATCTAGATGGTGCCTGGCTACCACTACTGACTGCTCTGACAGGGATCACAACAGAGGGTCCCAGACAGAGCTGGAGAAAAATATAGAACAAAATTCTAGCTCACAAAAAAAGAGTAGACTTACTGGTCTGACAGAGTCTGGAGAAACCCTGAGGGTATGGCCCCCGGACACCCTTTCAACTTAGTACTGAAGTCACTCCTGACGTTCACCCTTCAGCCAAAGATTTGACAGGTCTATAAAACAAACAATAGTACACGCAGTTCAACCGTGTATACAAGACTATATTGGCACACCAGCCAAAAGCAAAGACAAGAAGGCAGGAAAGGACAGGAAAGCTAGACGAATGGAAATTTGGAAACCAAGGTCGAGAAGGGGAGAGCTGACACATTGAGGGGTTGGCACCAATGTCACAAAGCAATATGTGTACTAACTGTTTAATAAGAAACTAATCTGTTCTGTAAACTTTCACCTAAAGCACAAAAAAGAAAAAGAAAAATCAGCCACTGAAAACCCTATAGAGCACAGCTCTGCTCTGACACACATGGAGTCGTCGAGTCAGAATCAACTAAACAACAACTGGTTATTTACTGGTGATGCTGAAAGCCACCAGATTGTCATTCCCTCTCCCTCTTAGATCACCCGTTTCCCTTGAACTCTCTTCCGCCTCCTCAGTGTCGGCCCACGTCCATTAGAACAAACTTGAGACAACCTCTGTCAAGTTATTCTGGCCTCACCCTAACCCCCAATAATTCTTCCCTTACTTGTATTTCCTTGCTTTTATATTCATTCTATACCAATGTGTTGTGGATTCACATATTACTCTATTCATTCTATGGTTTCTATGTGCTTATAAATCAAAAGTAAAATACTAGATGCATGAAGATAAATAACAAAGGTGGACTGAATCGAATCAAAGGAGAGTTTTATTATAATCGTGAGAGGTGGAAATGGGACACATAGAGTCCCTCTGTTTCATTTTTCTCCATCCACCCATAATTCTTCTGTAAAAATGGCATATGGGAATTCATTTTAAGATCCTAAGAAGTATCCTATTACCCCTCTATTCTCCAGGTTAGATTTACAAGTTCTTTTAGAGAATATTCATTGAACTATGTTTAAGACACTTTACCAAATGTTGTAAGAAATATTATAAAGTCTCAAATGTGGCCATTAAGTAATGAAACCAATCCCACAAGCCACACATCAAAATTAGTATCATTACTTCATAATCATACTATGTTCAAGCCATATTTCCTACCTTCCAAGAAGAACCAATCCAGTTGATAGAAATAAGCTATAATATATTTTAAAAAATAGTAGCCGCACTACCAAGCATTATGATTGGTACTGATAGTACTTACTCAAGGAATTTATTTTAGAAAGCCAATTTCAGTAATAGTCAAGAAACTTAAAAATGTTTGCTTTCTCGAACAGGGTTCCTCATTTGAGCCTCAGAACCCAGAAAATGATTTGTGTGACCTTCTCAGGTCTCTCAAGAATAGTGTATGACTAGTATCATTCTAGATGCAGAGGAGAGAAGATAATTCATTACATATAATGGATGCCCTAGGACATTAGGGCCCAATTCTCTCCCTGAGCCAGCTTGAGAAAAGTAATTTCCTTTTTATAAATGTATCTTGAGGAAGTAGCTGGGAAACAAACACAGATTTCTGTTCAAAATGCATTAAAAGTAAAAGGGAGAAAACAATCTAGATAGCCAACATTAACGGGATAACTAAATGAATCATTACACACCCACACGGTAGACTCTTATGAAATAATTAGACTAATGGCGAGAGAAAACACTCATGAATAATGTAAAGTGAAAAAACAGAATACTAATTTGATAGATGATTAGAGAGATAAAACCATACATACACATATGTTGTTGTCAGGTGCCGTGGAGTCAATTCCGACTTACAGTGACACCATGTGACAGAGTAGAACAGCCCCATAGAGCTTTCTAGGCAGTAATCTTCATGGGAAGAGCGGCTGGGTGGGTTAGAACTGACGACATTTAGGTTAGCAACCAAGCCCTTAAGCGTTGTGCCACCAGAGCTCCTTTCATAAACACATACCTTGACTGAAATACATCAAAATGTTAACAGCAGTCATCTCTGGGTAGAAGAATTATAAATAATTTTAAAATCTATTTCTTCGTGATTCTTTATTTTTTTAAAAACCCATAAAGTAGTATTGAGATCCTACGCCTCCCCTAAACCAAAACAAACAAACAAACAAAAAAAAACAAACCTGTTGTCATAAGTCAGAACCTCTGGGTAATTTTAGGAAGGAGCCCAGGTGATCCCTGGACACACTAGATTTTGAGAGTCACTGCTTTAGTGACAGCATATGTCTTTTGTCAATCTTACAGAAGCAAATTAGATGAAAATCAAGTCCTTTGCAAACTCCTCCTGTAGTACAAACTTGAAGGCTTGGACAGCAGAAACTGAAAGAATGAATGAAGAGCATGAATTATCATGATGACTGGGCCCCAAGCAACTCTTAAATCTGCTGTTTCATGATAATTCTCTGACCACATTTTGTTTGTACGTGGCATTGTAAAAGCACAAGAAGACAATTTGAGGTCCTCCCGAGTACGGCTTCTCTACTGATGCTTTATAAAAAAAGAGCAAGATAATAGAAAGCAATAATTCATTAAATGAGATATGCACAGTGGAATTTATCTCAGCCTCTTTTCATGAGCAAACCCAGATCATTTTAATGATTTCCCTGAAAAGTAATTAAAATCTGTTAAACATTACCTTCTCCACCAAGAGACACAGGTTATTCTAGTCTCAAATTGATGCTGGTGGTTCAACACTTGTCAAAGTAAAGAAACAGTTACCCATTAGGGATGCAATGTGTTCCTAAAACTTGGCTTTTATTTTCTCTCCTGTTCTTTGCTCTTTGTGCTAAACTAGAACAGCTGCTTATTAGATGATTTTCTATGGTGTAAGAACTCTTTCTTTTTGAAGACTGTCCCATTTAAGGCCTAAGCAACTGAGCAGAATTTGTTTTATGTATTTGTTATGATGCATATGATTTCAGCCCTTTGAAGAAGCAATACATTTGATAGGCCACTGTGTCTTTAATCCTTCATCTGGGAGACAGAAGGACCCACAGCCACATCCCAATGACTAGTGCCTGTGATTTTGGAGAAAGACTCAGGAGGCGGCCAGTAGAAACAAAGGCATTTGGCTCTCATTGATTTACAAAAGTTGTTCATCTTCTAACACTTCTAAAAAGGTGGCCGTGGGGAGTGGGGCTCCAGGCCTTCCAATCCAAATGTCAGAACACTTCACACAAAAATCTAAATTTGCATGTTATTGGTACAGATGTTCATAGTTACTGCCTGAGCCTTTTACTACTTGCATTTAAAAGCAGTGTTAAAATGACTGTATACCTTAGAGGAAAGAACAACAGAATGTGGATGCAATCTAAGCACAAGGATGTAGAGGAACATTGGACCAGGTCAGGCCAGGTGTGCCAAGAGAGGCCTGGTGGTCTTTGTGACACTTTCCACCCCTCCACCTCACCCCTGCCAAAGACCTCAAAATATACTCCAACCATATTACTTCCTATCACCAGTTATAACTCATGGTGATCCCGTGTGTGTCAGAGTAGAACTCTGCTCCATAGGGTTTTCAACGGCTGATTTTTCAGCGGTAGATTGCCAAGCCTTTCTTTCAAGGCACCTCTGGGTGAACTGGGAGAACTTTCTCCTGGACATCTGAAACCTCTGTTAAGGCTTAAAATGCTCTGAGTGCATACCCAGCAGCCCCATGTCGCCCCCAAGTGGCCCAGGAGTTATCCCCATGCACTCCCATTGACTCAGCCTTCTTGGATGATGTCTCATTCCTGAACCTCTCCATACCTCATTCCCTCAAAACAACCAGTCAGCAACTTGGCTAGCAGTGAGTGGTAAAGCCTAATAACCGATTTTTTTTTTTCTAATATGTTAATAGCTAACAAGGCAAGTGTGATGCCCCTCAGTTTCTTATTTATCCTTCCTGACTAAAAGTCATGAAACTCTACTAATGGAATTTAGTCAGCCCACACAAAATGGGGAGGCTATGTTCCCACCTTCAAAAAGTGGGCCCTTATCCCCAGGCCTAATTTTAAGCTAGGCTTATGAATTGATTAAACTTTGGGATTCTGCTCTTGTCAAATAGTCTCTTTCAGCAAAGAATTTGTGTCTCACCATCTTTGCCCTTGCAGAGACTAGCAGAATGCCCTATATGCACTATAAAAGATTAAAAAATATTTGGTGTCTATCTTAGTCATCTGGTGCTGCTATAACAGAAATACCACATGTGGATGGCTTTGTCAAAGAGAAGTTTATTTTCTCACAGTCCAGTAGGCTACAAGTCCAAATTCAGGACATCATCTCCAGGAGAAAGCTTTCTCTCTTTGTCGGCTCTGGAGGAAGGTCCTTGTGATGCATCAGTCTTCCGTTGTTCTGGGAGCTTCTCAGCACAGATACCTCAGGTCCAAACGAAGCGCTCTGCTCCCGGCGCTGCTTTCTTGGTGGTGTGAGGTTCCCGTGTGTCTCTGCTCGCTTCTCTCTTTTATGTCTCAAAACAGATTGGCTTAAGACACTAACTAATCTTATAGACCTCATTGGTATAACTGCTGCTAATCCATCTTATTACATCATATTGGTAAAGTTTACAACACATAAGGAAATCACAGCAGATTACAAAATGGTACACAATCATACAATACTGGGAATCATGACCCAGCCAAGTTGACAGATATTTTTGGGGGGACATAATTCAATCCATGACAGTGTCTGAGTGCATTTCCAGGATATGGACATGAGTTTTACTGGGCTTTACTCTCTCCTCTATGACTCACAGATTTTTCTCAAGTATTTCCTTTTCTCCTTTTCTTTCCCTTCTTTGTCAATGTCAGGTAATACATGGCACCTGTCTACATGCCTTTTGAGGCAAACAAGCATGGGAAAAATGCGTAAGTTAAATCAGTCCTTGTTGTTGTTTTTAGCTGCTGTTGAGTTGGCTCTGACTCATTGTAACCCCACACACAAGGGAACAAAATGCTGCCCAGTCCTGCACCACCCCCATGATCGGTTGCAGATCAGACCATTGTGATCCATAGGGTTTTCTTTGGCTGATTTTTAAAAGTAGATCTCCAGGTCTTTCTTCCTAGTTCATCTTAGTCTGAAAGCTCCACTAAAACCAGTTCAGCATCATAGCAACACACAAGCCTCCACTGACAGATGGGTGGTGGCTGCACATGAGGTGCATAGGCTACAAATCGGACACGGGTCTGCTGCATGGAAGGCAAGAATTCTACCACTGAGTCAATAATAACCCCAGAATGATGGATAAATAGATAGACACCGAATCACATTCCTGTGATTGCAGATCTCCCCCACCTCGGTTTGGATCCAACATAGTTGCTAGGCACAATCATGACAGCTTAGACTTTTTTCATGTGTGTCAATGTTTGATGGGTGACTTCAGTTTTCCATTACAACTGGCTGATCTTATGTCATTTTCCATACTTTGCAGAGCATCCTGGAGCTGGAGAAGGAAAGAATCCAACTTTTATGCAATAACTTAAACCAGTACAACCAGCATATTTCTGTTTTTGGTCAAACCTTGACCACAGTGAGTAGTGAAGAATTTTTTATTTCTGATATGCATGATAAGAATTGGCAGAAAACATGTATTCAGTGACATTTTTCTGCTTTCCATGGCATTGCAGTGCCACACCCAGATTCACTGTGCCATCAGCAAGATAGATGCCGAGAAAGATATTCAGTCTTTACTGGAAGAAACTGCAATATCGTCTACAGAAAAAAAATCTGAGTTCCTACTAACTGATTACTTTGTAAGTACGTGTAAAGGAAGGAAGTTGCATTAGTGGAGAAACTCTAGTCACGTAGTGAGAGATTCATTTTGAAAAAAAAATGATATAATTGTAAAGGAAATACATCTTGTTTTATAAATAAAGACAATTTTTATAGTTTGTATAAATTTTTTAAAAAAAGTGTGTGGTCTACAAACTGGGCAATGGAAACACATCTTTGGTCTTTTCTGAAAGGGAAAAAAGTCAAGCAGGATTTTAGAGTGAATCTTCATACTGTCTTCGATAACAATAACGCCAGGCAGACATGTTTCATGATCTATAAATAATTGGTTCCGGTATTAGTTGTCATTGCTGCTTAACAAATTATCCCCGAATTTAATGGTTTAAAACACACATTTATTGTCTCACAGTTTATGTGGGTCAGGAGTTCAGACATGGCTTAGCTGGGTGCCTCTGGTTCAGGACTGCAGTCTCACAAGCTGCAATCAAGGTGTCGCTAGGTTTGCAGTCAGCTCAAGGCTCTACTGGGGGAGGATCCACTTCCAAGCTCACTCACGTGGCAGTAGGCCAACCTCCCCTTCTAGATGACAGCCAGAGACATCCATCAATTTCTTGCCATGTGAGTATCTCACAACATGGCAACCTGCTACCCCGGAACTAGTAATCCAAGAGAGAGCCTGAGTGTCCAAGAGGGAAGTCACAGTCTTTTATAACTTAATCTCAGAAGTGACAGCCCGTCATTTCTGCCATATGCTATTTGTTAGAAGCAAATCCACAGGTTTCTGGACCTCTGCTACAGACACATCCAGCCACAACTCTACCCCACGCCTATCATCCTAACTTTTTTTTTCATTTAAACTTTGAAATAGTGCATGTGAAAGCTCAGAAACGGTTAAATGATTCCTTGCAGCCTACATGATAAGATCTCCGCTCCACCCTTTAAATCTGGCCAAAACTAGCTAGACAACTTTTTCTTTCAGAAGTTTGCTCAAGCAACTCCTGTATGTATTGTTCCTGATACGTTTTCACACAGTCCTCCCTGTGTCCTTTGCTCACACAGTTTATATGCCTGTACTACCCTATGCCCTCTTCCCACTTGATCCAAAAAAGGGCTGGTTAAGTCTTCTAGCCTGCTTGAAGCTTTCTGGCCCAATAGGCCACACATTCCTGTCTGCACCATTCCGGCTGCATTGAATGACTGTGGCCTTGCATTGCAAGTTCTCTTTAATGTTGTGCTTCAAGGCTAAACAAAACTATAAACCTATTCTGTTGTAATAGAAATCCTACGTGTGTTTTAGTTTGTGTGTTCCAGTTCCCAGTCAATACAGAACTCAATAAACATTTGTCACACTCTGATGTGGTTCTAGCAGCATATACATATGGTACTTGGGTCATTGAAGGACTCTAACTTGAATAAAGATAAGTAAACACCAAGAATTGTTGCTGTCAAGTTGATTCTGACTCATGGCGATCTCATGTGTGTCAGAGTAGAACTGTGTTCCGTAGAGTTTTCAATGGCTGATTTTTCAGAAGTAAATTCAGGCCTTTCTTCTGAGGCTTCTCTGGGTGAACTTGAACCTCTAATCTTTCAGTTAGCATCTGACTACGTTAACTGTTTGCACCACCCAGGGACTCCAAAGATAAATAGAAAGTAATAAGTATCCAACAAGTAGTCTTATTTATCAAGCAACTATGATATAACCATATAAGGGTCATTCTCCAAGAGCAGTTTGTTCTGTGAAAGAAAATGCTCAGCTATGTACTCACAAGTTGTGAAAAGGGGATGTCTTCTTTTTAATCACTGTGGGACAGTGAAACAATCTGTGTAAAACCAAAGATTACTTTTAATTTTTTAACTTTTTTTCTTCCATAAAGTAAAAATTAAACACAGTCAATGAAAGTCTCAGTACAACTGGGAGTAACAATGCTTACTTTTTTCCCCTTAACTTGCTAAACATCTCCCCTTTTTTTCCTAAAGGAAGAAGATCCTAACAATGCAATGGATAAAGAGAGACAAAAGTCTTCAATAAAATCAAAATTGCTGAGACTGCAAAGAGATATTGAAAAAGCCTCGAAGGACAAAGAAGGTGTGTAATTATCATGTAGGATGGCCCAATAAGGGAAAGTATTAGAAGTTTCATTCAGAGTCAGGATTATTCTGCTTTTGCTGACTGGGTCAGGGATCGTCTAATTTAAGGAACCACATGTCAAACCTAATTTGTATGAATAAAGAAAAATAAAAAAGAAGAAAGGAAAGGTAAAAAAAAAAAATGAAAATGGTTTTGGCCTATTTACAAGAACTACGTAAGAATTATGGAGCCCTGGCAGTGCAGTGGTTGAGAGCTACAGCGAGCTACAGCTGCTAACCAAAAGGTTGGCAGTTCGAGTCCACCAGCCACTCCCTGGAAACAATATGGCACAGTCCTATAGGGTTGCTATGAGTCAGAATTGACTCGATGGCAGGGGTTTGGCAGCATGTTACATAAGAATTTTACTACCATTTTCAGAAATGTAGCATTTTACAGTCTTTAGGAAGTTGGCTGGAATGAAGATCAATGCATTTAGTTCAAAACATGATAAACCTTCTGTGGACAAGGGTTTTGTTCATATTCAATCCTGTACTTAGAAGTCAGGCATGTCAGAATGTTAAGTCTAAAGCGATGCAGATAATAAAAATTACATAATACTTGGAGTATGTGTATAGTTTGTTTTATGTGGCCCAGAATAACATATTGCAATGTAACACTTGATAGAAAATTCAAGATAGCAAAATGTTTAGAAATGTAAATACCATAGTGAGGAAGAGCCTAACATTGAGGTAATGTTGAGATTCAAAACTTCATCTCGGAAAATAACAATTGGAACAGTTTAACCCTTCCAAGACCCAATTATTTTCTGCTTTGAATTTCTTGTTGATACTATGTTTTCATTAATGGAAGCATGCTGAATCATTGAGTGTTGTTGAATTTTTGGTAGGTAGTATGGATTTTTTTTTTCTTTCCCCCCACCACAAGCCAACCAACCAAAGTATGAGAGTCCAGAGGGACATATGTTGTCCCACTAATTCTACCCCTCTCAGCCCCCGCCCCCACCAAGTCCAGTGGGACATATGTGTCCGAAAATTTTTTTTCAAAATTTCTGTTTTTCCTATCAAAAATACACACACCTCATGCAACACTGTAGAAACAGTAATTTGTAGCACACACCCATTTTATTGGTTTCTAACAGTCATAAAGACTTGCGGCAGCATACACTGTCAGTGGGAAAGCAGCTTCCCAATGAACCTGAGAGGCATAAAATGTTGGTGTGCAACTATATATACCACTGATCATGAAAAGGTTTTAAGCACCAGCACTTCTCAATTCTTATTAAATGAAACTAAGATAAATGAACTGTTATCCATTCAGTAAAATTTAGTAATGACTACATACAGAAACCCCCCCAGCCATTTAGGAAGTCCTACTGGTATCATTTCTGGGTTCAAGCTCTCTCTGAGTGTGACCAGCTCCCAGCTGTGTCACATCAGAACAGAATGAACTGTGATTGAGAGCATGATTCCATTTCAGGCCTGGAACGAATGCTTAATGCATACTCCAGCAACTCCTCTTTCTCCGATGGAAAGAGCCAGAAAGACACAGCAGCGTTAATGGATGAGGTAAATATTTGCAGAGTGCAATTTCCTAGATTTAGTGATGAAAGGGCTATTTTTAGAAAACTTGCTTCCTGGCACATTCCACCTCTGTTTGCCTTTCCTTTCTCATGGCATAGAATGATCTAGTCAATTTACAGGGTCAACCCCTTGGCAAGTAGGTTGAGGGTCTGGAAAAATCCAACTACCTAGATATATTTGTTTTGGGGTCTTCCTAGGAAAAGAATTATTCTTAAAATAGAATTCCCCAAAATACAGTCATTCCTTGAGGAGCCTGGAAACCATGTGTACTTTAACCCAGTTAAGACAAGTGACGCAAAGCAAGGGATCTGTGTTCAGAAAGGCTTGTCTTTGGGTCTAGCCCTGCCATTTACAGGGATCTTGGACAACTTTAGAGTCCCGGGATGGTGCAAACAGTTAAGGGCTCAGCTACTAACTGAAAGATTGGCGATTTGAACCCATCCAGAGGTGCTTTGGAAGAAAGGCCTGGCAATCTGCTTCTGAAAGGTCACAGCCTTGAACGCCCTATAGAATACAGTTCTACTCTGAAACACATGGGATTGCCATGAGTCAGAACCAACTTGATGGCAAATGGTTTTTTAAGGGGACAATTTTAGTTTTCTCATTTGGAAAATGGAGCTATTAGTACCTACCTCATAATGTTTTAGTGAGGATGAAATATTAATTAGAAAATGCTAGTACAGTGCTTGGCCCAGATGAGGAGCCTCAAAACTACTAATTATTATTAAGATGCTGTTTTCCACTCATTCCCCAGCTGACATCAGGGTCGTCAGAGAATAACAGGAGAAATGAAAGATATGGCCACACAGAAGGAAGAGAAGGGGGTCTAGGGTGTGAGAGAAAAGCTCCTGGGAAGCCAGGAGCAACTTTAGAGGCCCAGGTTTTTAGGAGGAGGAAGTGACAGAGAAAGGGGCCCGGGAGCTGGATCTTCTGGCTTTTTTGTTCAGGGCTCCACAGACATTTGCAGAGATTGATGGACACAGCAGCTGCTTTGGAGGAACTCACATTAAATAAGTAGTTAGCAAAAAAAAAAAGATGAATTTTATATAGGAAGAAAAAAATAGATACATACTACCTATGTTTGCAAGCTATGGGGTTTCTGCTGAGATTAGAGTGATCGGAAGTGACCTGGGGTTAACCTGAGAAGAATTCAGGAAGAGGTACAATTTCTAGCAAAGTCTTGAAGATACAAGAAACTGTGCCAGCTCTCCTTACTTTGTATATTTCCTAACTTTCTTGTGAAAGTTGTTGTTATTGTTAGGTGCTGTCAAGTTGGTTCCGACTCACAGCAACCCTATGTACAACAGAACAAAACACTGCCCGGTCCTGCGCCACACTCGTTGTCGTTGTTGAGCCTGCTGTTGCAGCCACTGTGTCAATCCATCTCGTTGAGGGTCTTCCTCTCTTTCGCTGACCCTCCACTTTACCAGGCCTGATGTCCTTCTCCAGGGACTGATCCGTCTTGATAACATGTCCAAAATATATGAATCAAAGTCTTGTCATCCTCCCTTCTAAGGAGCATTCTGGTTGTACTTCTTCCAAGACAGATTTGTTCATTCTTTTGTGAAAGTAGGTGACTGATAATTCTGTGCAAACTGGCCATTTAAAAAATTCTTTAGTGACAGTAGGCAGATACCACCAGGTACAGTTGGTCTAGTTTGGAGCACAGGCTTCCCTTATTGGGTATGCTGGTATAGAAATAAACCTCATACTTCTTGTGAAAAGAAAGGCCTGCTGCATTCTGTTCACTTGAGAACAGAGTCTAATGTGCTTGCAATGACACACGACTACAATTTTTATGAGGTGATAAAACAGACTATGGGGCATTTTCTGTGACAGTACAAAATGTTCAGGTAAATAATTTAAATCATAATATTTACCAAAATAATGTCACAAGGAACATGTTATGATGGTGTTGAATTAAAAGTTTATTTCTGTGGTTGTTCTGGTACAGAATTTTGTCATGGTCATTACCAGCATAGAATGTGTCTTAGTATCATCTGAGTACACAGTAGCCTGATTCACACTGTGGGGGATGCAAGTAGGAGAGGACCTGAACCCTGAACTCACAGTGTTTATGATCTAGTGAAGGAGCAAGCATGAACCTTCTAGTAGTGATTGCCAAATGTGCACGTAACTTCACTACAAGTGCTCTGTGTCTGGGTGGAGGGAAACTGGAGAGATTAGTAGATTTTGTTTTACCCAGAGAAGGACACTTCATATATAAATCAAGGTTTCTTTTCACCTGTCTTGTCTAGAATAAGACGTACTCCACTACTAAAGATTTCCTTTAGACTGCTTAAAGGATCTTTTTTTTTTCTCTTCAGCATTTTCTTTGCATATCCATATATGAGTTGAACGTGTATTTTTCTAGATTTTTTGTCATTTAGAAAGTTTTCCTAATATCTCTTTAACCATCCAGTTTTGCCTCACTGTTTAGAAATGTACTCATATGGCCAAATAAATGTATTCACAGACCAATCTGAAACTAGACCTTCTGCAAGCAAACTCCTATAAACTGTCATCAGTATTAGCAGAACTTGAGCAAAGACCTAAACCCCCACATCCCTGTAGCACCTGCATCTTCAAGTGGAAAGAAAAGGTAAAATTTGAAGAGATTGGTTGCTGGGCTTGCTGGCTAGAGTGTCTTAAAGTAGCATCAGGGTAAAAAAAGCTTTTGTGACTTACATGTGCTATGTGTCCCAAATCCTAACTGTGGAATTTTAAAATCTGTTTGTATTCCCTTTAGGCGCAATAACAAGAGCTAAACACCACTGGATACATTCTTTGTAGACTGAATTATTGTGAAGGTTTAAAAACACCTTGAATTCCTTCCCCTTCCTCTTCATATCTTAACTTTATCTTTCAAATTTGTTTTTATACTAAAAATTCTATTAAATCAAAATTTTAGTATTCATACAAGCAAAAATTGTGAGATTTTCATTATTTTCATGTGTTTAATACAGCACATACTGTAGATAATGCATGAGTACAATTTTTAAAATTCATACACATGTTTTTTCCCAGTATCATACTCTTCAGGAATTGACATGAATACACATGGGTAGTAGCTGTTTTCCATTAATATATCAGAAGGGTGAGCTGTAACCATCTTGTAATGAAAAGACAGTTTTCTTTCAAAATGGGTCAAGAGCTCTAAAATTGTCTCAATCATACATACAGAGTTGTGATCATTTCAGTTGTATTAAAACCAATTAAAGTTGAATTTGTAGAAGTAATGTTATAAATATTGTTATCATGCCTAGAGATATAGGGGAGTTCCTGTGCAAACAGTTAATGTGTTCTGTATGTGATGGCAATGTTGTTAAAAACGGCTTTTTTTTTTTTTTTTAACTGTTTTAACAGGAGCAGACACATAGCTATGTGAAAATATCTCGGCCTTTTATGATGAAGAGACTAGAGAATGTTATGAGCAAGGCTTCTTCTGGTGGGCAGAGCAATCCAAGTTCTTCGTCTTTAGGTAACCCCATGCCTAGAATTATTTTGGTCTGTGTCCTATCAGTAAAGCATATTGCCACATTTAAGTTTTAAGTTTTATTTTCAGAACAACATTGACGAATATCTACTCAAAGAAATTTACATTCCAATAAGGAGTGATTAATTTGTTAGAATCTATAGGTTTAAGTGTATGTAACATAGTACAAAAAGTATGAAGGAGTCAGGAAGGGTGGAAGTTTGGGAAAAGTATTTTATAATATGAGGAGGTACCTGAGATGCCACATGACCGACATTCACTTCATTCCAACAGCCTGCAATCTGTTGTCCACACAACCACCTCAAAGCCACTGTGTGGAGTTTGGCAGGCCTGTCTCCACAACCTCCAAACTTCCATGGAAATCCTGTCCTCTCTGGGAGAAACATGGTGATCTGGGTGGTTTGCCAGGACCACACCTGGGGCTGGAACTGAACCCACCTTCTTTATTCAGTCATCTGTGATAAGTCAGCTGTCTATCCACACCCCACTGCCCTCACCTTTCAACACACACACACGCTACTCACACCATACATACCCACATGCACGCACGTGCGCGCACATATGTCAAAGACCATCACTTTTCAAATAATGACCATAACTTTGACTCTCTAGTTTCTTGATTAGAAATTGGCAAAAAAAAAAAAAAAAAAGAGATTCAGTAAAATCCAGGACATTATGGACTGCACAGTATATTAAAGAGTCACCTTTGCATTGAAGCAGATTCATTAGCACTGAGGGATGATGACAACAAGTGCACGTTCCCCAGCATTCCCTTTCTGTACATGAATGGCATAACTGGTGTGTGTTTTCCAAAACATGCACGTAAATACCACACAAATTATCTAACTGATGTGCAGTACGTTCATGTGGGGAACAAATCTTTTTAAATTGTCATCTTTATTTTTATTATTACTACAGTAATTTTTCTCCAAACTTAATATTTTCTGTATCATAATATGGGTTTTGGTTATATAATATATACAGCACCATCCACATAGTAGGTAAGTCATAATGGTTATTGAATCAAGGTGTAAAAATGGTATGGGGGTGGTGTCTGACTTCCTCTAACTTCACAAGGGGGAAGGAGAATCAAGCAACATTAACAGCCCAAGGCTGATTCCTAGGAGGCGAAGGTCAGATGTGCCTCCTCTCCACGCCATCTTTACCAATTCTGACATCAATCATCCCTCCCATGGCACTCTCTACTTCTCTGCTGGGTTCGATAGTTCATTGCAATGACCACACAGAACTCACCGACAATACTTACGATTATGGGGCTTATTAGGGAGGTAACAGTTACGATTCAGGCTCAGAAACACTCGGGATACAGTTCTTCCATCAGGACAACCTCTTTTCAGCTGTGCCCGCAGGCACATCTCTCACTGGCCCTCAGCCTCTACCTTGCTTGGGCAAGTGTTACAAAGCTCTTGGAGCTCTACCAATAAGTTCCCAGAGGCACTGTACTCGGCCAGCAAGCCTGCTACCCAAAGGCACTCAGCTTTATCGAGTGGGCTGGGAAGCCCACCACACTGTTTCCTGCCATTGTTTCTCTGCCACCGCTTCTCAAGAGCTCTCTCTCTCTGTCTCCTGGTTCCAGAAGCTTCTCAGTGCAGGGATCCCGGGTCCAAAGGACGCACTCTCTGCTTCTGGCTGTTCTTCCTTGGTGGTGGTGGGATTCTCTCTTTCCTCTGGGATGGCTCATTTCAAGCCCAGCGGGATGGCAAAATGGACCAATCCCCTTGGTGGGCCACAAGTATCTTATTTGCACAGTTCCACCCAACCACTTGGGTGGGAGTTACAAGACCATGGCTAGAAAGGCCACACAAAAGCCATCAATGGCACAGCACGAGGAATGGCTACTATATAACATTATAAACTTTCCTTTTGAGAAAGTTTTAATATATTTAAATTCTGCTCCAAACTGTTAAATAACCAAAGAGCTTCCAATCACATTCATTTTGCCTACTGACACAGCATTAATAATTACAACTTAATCCATCTTTCAGCCTCTGATGTGGCCCAGCTCAGCAATGGTCTTTGCAAAGCCTTATATTCTTTTCAAGCCAGGGAAGAGGATGAATTGAGTTTGGAAAAAGGTAAGAGTCATTCTCAAATATTTTAGTTGCCTTCAATGTTGGGATCCTTTTAACATGAATAAAACACCTACCTTAGTATTGCAGACTACCATGTTAAGTCAGTCCAGGTTTATAGAATCACTCTTTTTAGAAGATACAGATAAAGCATATCAAATACTAAAGCACATGTAATAGTAACAACTAACAGTTATTCAGTATTTACTATGTGCTGGACACTGTTGCAAGAGCATTATCCAATTCAATCTTCACCAAAAACCCTTTGAAGTAGCTGTTGTTACTTATTCCCATTTTATAGTGAAGAGACTGAGACACAGAAAAGTTAAATACTCTGGTCAAAGTCACAGGTGGTGGCGGCACAGGATTTGAACCCAGGCACTCTGGGTCCAGAGTCATGTTCTTAATCACAGTGCCACACTGGTATAGAATGTCAATAGTGGAAAGTCATTAGAGATATAGTTCTACCTCCTATTTTTCAGAAAGCTAGGCACCTAGGAAGGTGAAGTGACTTCCTCTCTTGGCTTAGTGTAAGAGCAAGTTCTAGAACCCTGGTCAACTGACCCCCAGCTTAATGTTTTTCAGGAAAGTATTTTATGGCCAATCTAAGGAATCAGAGTTTCTTGTTTCACAAATTTTTATTTAATGTGGGAAGATATTCTGTTATGGGGTATGTAGACTTCAACATTATTAAAAAAGAAAAAGTCTTTATGTGACCAGTTGGCAACCAAATTTGGATGTTAAAGCTAAGACAAAGATCAGGAAATGGAGGGGCTAATAAGAAAAAGTCATGTATAAGAGAAAGCTTCTTATCACATAACTCCCAGAGGCAATAGAAATTCAAGATGGCTTTTGAAGCCAAACAACAGGAACACCACGTATTTGCTATTGGCTAGTGGGTGCTTCCTTTTCACTTTGCAAGTCAGACTTCTCCAGGCCATTGCTTTTTCTTTTAGCTCAGGTATAGCAAACGCAAGGAAAAGGGAGACAGAAAAGAGACACTTTCCTACATTCATCAAGGACTAATGTATTTACTTAAAAGTTTGAAGCATTATAGACGTGATCTCACTAATCATCATGTTATCCTAAGGTTATACACCTAGTATGTAATACGTAGGTAAATGAAATTTTGTATTCCCGCTTTCTATATGAATAAAAAACACAGTCCCCAGACGCCACTGGTTCACACACATCTGGAACACGAGGGTTCTAAGTTTGAGTTACTCAATAAATTATCTTTTTTGTTTTCGGTTCTCTGTTGGTTGCAAAGCCTCTTATACTTTATATTCTATTTTGAGTGCTTACTTTAAATGAAACTGGGAAAATGGAGACTTAGGAAAGCTGGCAATAAGATTTTAAATCATTTGTTTCAATTCCTGTTAATAGATCATGTCAAACGATCTACTGACCTGAGAGAACTCATTAGAGGGGAGAAATTAGACTGAGTGTGACCTCCTACAAGAGTAGTGATTTATGACTAAGGGAAGATAGAAGGGGGCTTAACAGTCTCCTTTGTCTTACAAAGAAAACTACTGGGAAAAAAGAGAGAGACTGAAAAATTACCTCAGAAAGATGCTAAGAGAACAGAAGTAGCTCTTGCATCTGAAAGGACGCAGATGTTTCTACTCTGATTGCAGGAAGCAGCCAGAAAGAAATCTTTCTTACAAGAGAGGGGGCTTAGCTGGAGGATTTGGGCCACTGGGTTAAGCTTTAGGGTTATTTATTTCAGAATGGTATTTCAAAAAAAATTAGAGACTTGGAGAAGAGCTGTGTGTTTCTTAGGAATTCTATGTATTTGAACGATGCTTTAAAGAAATATTTTCTTCAAATTATGAGATCATTGGTGGTTTAGTGGCAGAATTCTCATCTTCCTGTGGGAGACCCAGGTTCGATTTTCAGCCATTGCACCCCTTGTGCAGCCAGCACATGAGGCTGTGTGTTGCTATGGTGCTGAACAGATTTCAGAGGAGCCTGCAGACTAAGATGGACTAGGAAAAAAGGTCTGCTGATCTACTTCCAAAATCAGTCAATGAAAACCCTATGGATTGCAACGATCTGGTCAGATCTGCAATTGATCATGGAGATGGCACAAGACTGGCCGCATTTCATTCCATTGTGCATGGAGTCACCATGAGTTGGGACTGACTCAACGGCAGCCTAAGACAACACCATCTTCAAACTGATGTTTTGTTGAAGTTATCCAAATCTGGGGGTAACTTTATATTTCTGTGTAAGGTTGTGAGTTGGAATTTTGGACTGTGAAGCCGGGTATGATAGAGAGAAGCTGTCTTATCTCAAGAAAAGTGTGGTAGCCAAGACACACTCACAGTAGTCAACACACCAAATGATCATGGCCACCAACAAGTGAAACCCTTAAAGCACTGACACTGAGAAAAACTATGGTGACAACTCATCAACTAAATACAAAAAGAGCCAGTTGTCACTAGAATGACATATGATCCATGGTTTTGTTTTGAAGAAAATCATTTAATGACATAATTCCATTGTCCATTATCTTATTCTTAGTATTCTCTGCATTATGTCTGCTTTATACACAGCAGGTGCTCAAGAAATTCTCCTTCTTCTGAATCAAATGCAGAAGATGCTACCAAGTAACTCCTTGAAAGCAGAATCCCCTTAAAACTGCCTAACCCATCAGGCTCAGTCATGTGCTCAGACTGTGGAGACCCATTAGACTGTACAACTAAATGTGTTTTTTCACAGGTGACATTGTGGCTATACATGAGAAAAAAGGAGAAGGATGGTGGTTTGGATCTTTAAATGGAAAGAAAGGCCATTTTCCTGCCGCATATGTTGAGGAGCTACCTTCAAATACTGGTAACACAGCTACCCAGCCATAAAATAAGACTGAACACACCACCTTGGACACTTTGTAAACTCTAAAATGTGGTGCAAATAAAGATAAAATTGTGTTACCTTTTCAAGTTCATCTTTCTAAAATGGGTGATGGGGCCCTACCCATTTGTTACAGCACTTTGCACTCTTGATTATTTTCATGAAATAGTCAGAAGATGAATGGGTGGAGAGAGGTAGGGAAGAGGCTCCCTGGTCTTAGAGTTTCAGAATTCTAAGAGACCCTAGAGATGATCCAGCACAGCACCTTATGTCACAACCTCTTGTGCCTGAAGTCACATAGTTGTCTGATAGCAGACTAGAGATTAGAACTCAGATGTCCTTTTCCTTCGGGCTTGGGTGATAAGAGGATACAGTAGACCTACAAAGAGTCGAACCAGACTTGAGGGATGAGGAAGGACATAGAGCAAGTCCAAATAAAATAGGTCAATAAGAACAGGTAGACGAGACATAAGTGAGACAGATCCATCTAGGTTAGGCGACTGTGAAATAAAGGCTCAGAAGCTGAAGCCAAGAGGGGGTGGTAGAAAAGGGGCAGGATAATAGGCAGAAGACCTTAGGGTAGAAGGGAGTTTCATTCTGAGCCAGTGACTTTCTGAGATAGTGGCTTCTTGTAGACCTTCTGCCCAGGACCGGAACTGTTCTTAGAGTGAGGTCAAGCATGAGCCAGAGATAATAGTGAATCAAGAACAAGAGCAAGGTGGACAGGGGAGAGTTAGGAGGGAGGCTGTGCCTGAAATTTTATGCCTTCTTGCTCCTGCCCCTTATCTTTTTTTAAAACATTTTATTGTGCTTTAGGTGAAAGTTTACACAGCAAATTAGTTTCCCATTCAACAATCCATACACAAATTGTTCTGTGACATTGATTGCTGTCCCTGCAATGTGTCAGCACTCTCCTCATTTCCACCCCGGCTTCCCTATTTCCATCCCTCCAGTTTCCCTGCCCCCTTTGCCTTCTCATCTTTGCTTTTAGGCAAATGTTGCCCTTGGTCTCGTATAGTTGATTGTTCTAAGGAGCACATTCCTCTTCGATGTTATTGTTTATTTTATAAGCCAGTCTATTATTTGGCTGAATAGTGACCTCTGGGAGTGGCTTCAGTTCCAGGTTAAAAGGGTATCTTAGGGCAATAATCTCACAGGTTCCTCCAGTCTCTATCATTCCAGTAAGTCTTTTTTTTTTTAAAATGAATTTGACCTTTGTTCTACATTTTTCTCCCATTCTAACTGGGACCTTCTATTGTGTCCCTGGTCAGAGAGGTTGGTAGTGGTAGCCAGGCACCATTTAGTTCTTTTCGTTTCAGGCTAGGGGAGGCTGTGGTTCGTGTGGGCCGTTAGTCTTTTAGACCAGTTGCTCCCCTGTGTCTTTGGTTTCCTTCACTCTCTTTTGCTCCAGATGGGAAGAGACCAATAGTTGTATCTTAGATAGCCTCTCCCTTATCTCTTCTTTATTTTTTAATTCATCAAATTTGATACTTTCAAGGGGGAATTTTTCAAACTAAGGCACATATATTTATTATATTCAGCACCATTACACTCATATAGCAGCATATAATGAATACATTAGATATTTCTGGATACAGATATCAGGCCTGAAATAGTGCAAGTAAAGTTTGGTATGTGAGACATAACTTACAGCCTAAAAGAAAAGATCGGAAGTTTTAACATCGCCCTTAATGGTGTATTAATGAAGGCTTTCTGCATGTAGAAAGTTGGCTGAATAATTGGCCATTAGACCATGAATAGAGATTTTGAATCTATATTTCTTTTTCATCTTATTTCTTTCCGTTTAGACATGATGGATAAAAAATTGTCTAGCAATTAACTGCAGCTTACACTGAACCACTTTGTGTATAGAAAGTGATGATGGTGATTGGACCCTGAAAGTCTTCGGAAGAAATTTTCTAAAAGACCCCTCTTTCTTCATAAATTAGGGTTATCTTGTGAGAATGTAAATTGCTCCCCTGTTTTGGAATGTTGATGCAATTCTGTGATATATAATTTTAAAACCTCAAAGGATATCACATTTTAAGCAAGATAAAACACAAATATCACCAGGTATTCCTTGATTCCAGGCAGACTTGTTAAATATCTTATGAAAAGGGCAAGAGTTTCCTGGCTGGACACATAGAGAGGGTAACACCTAGATTTAGGTTAAAACTAAGTGCATATTATGAAGATTAATTACATGCCCAAATCTTAAATATAAAATAAAATAAAATAATTTTTATATTAATGCTTTAAACTATTAATTGAGCCTCCATAATTATACTCTACTATGCAGTTTCATGTATCAGGAAGTTTTTAGCACCATTAACAACTTGAAATATAGGTAGTAGAGGCTGGAGCCAGAGTTTCACCGAACGCATCAGAAGGCGTTACTCTACTTTATCTCTTTTTTTGGTAGAGTAAAAGCTGATATATCCATCATGCTGTCAACCAGAAAAATCTATTAATTTCCTTGATTGCATTTTCCATCACCCATAATAATTAACATTCATAATGACAAAAGGCACTTTAATCATTTAAAGTGCCTTCTGATTGTTCATAAAGTAATATAGTATTCAGTTTGCGGTTAAGTGAATTTTATTGTACAGTATTGTCAGTCTGTAATTGATTAGTAATTTGAGCATAGTTTAACTTTGTCTCTCCTCACCTCAAGGAAAAAGCCCTCCGCCCAAGTCTTGATAGCCTTGAGGGGTAATCAGATGGACTGGGAGTAAGAGAAGTGCATTAGAATCAAAATAACAACATGCCCTACTGTCCCTTGCAATATTACATTGGAGGAATGAATAACCCAAGGAAGACAGGCCTGGAGGTGTTGGAATGATAAAACAGGACTCAGATTTGGACGAGAATGTGGGGACAACGTAGAGAAGTGCAGGAACCTTTTATAGAGAGACTACAGCTACACAGATAGAACTGGAGGCAGAGGGGACAGATGAAGGGAACGGCAGAGATTCTCGTATGCTGGATCCAGAGTGGACCGTCATGTCCCAGGCCCTCCCGCTAAGCAGCAATAGGGGGACAGGAGTGAGAAAATCAGTAACCTGGAGAATCCAGGTTGTGTTTATGCAGATGAGCGCTCAGCTCAGGGAAACTAAGTGGAAGTATGGATGCCCACAGCCAGGGAAATCCTAACTAAGGGAGAGAGCCCAATGCGGTCAGGGGGTCAAAGGAAAGAGGAGGAAAGTAGCCTTGACCTGAGGTGGGAATGAATGGACCTAGACAGAAATAAGAGTGAAAATCTCTTAAAGAACTTAGAGAACAAACCTAGGAGAGGGAGGAAACTGAACTGGCTCTAAAGCTCATGACTAATGGAAGGACCTGGGGACAACAAGAAGAGTCACATCAGGGAGCCCCTAGAAGGGACTGAGACCAGGCTAGCCAGATAAATGAGGGGGCAAATGTGTTACTGATCTCAGTTTCAAGTGGCTTATAAATTGAGTTTCCCTCACTCTGGGGCAGATGGCAATGACTTTCCCCAACGGATCTTCAAGTGTGGTGTCTGGACCAGCAGCACCAGTATCACCTCAGAATATGTTAGAAATACAAACTATCAGTCCCCACCTCATACTCGGAATCAGAAATCCTGGCAGTGGGACCCAGTCATTTGTGTTTCAACAAGCACTCTAGATGATTCTAATAAGAATTTGAGAACCACTGGCTTACTTGAATGAATCCTAAGGGTGCTGTCTAAACTACAAGAGATCACACTCAGGGGAGGAGCATTGGTGGAGAAAAAAATGTAAACCTAGGGAGCCAACTTAAAAAAAGAAATAGCCCCTCCCTTTGATCCAATAAGATTTTCAAGAAGAATGGCGTTGGAGACCTAGCTGGAGAAGTCTTTCTCCACTGTAGGGGCTGCTCTGGCTAAGGGGCCCCTTTTCCTCTTCTCTTTCATGTTCTTGCTTAGCTCAGGAAGGAGGATTATTTTAGCCTACATTTGTTTTTGTTAGTTGCTGTTGAGTCGGCTCTGACTCATGACGACTCCATGTGCAACAGAACAAAATGCTGCCAAGTCCACTGCCATCTTCATAATTGTTAGTATCGATCATGGTTGTGGCCACTGTTGCTACCGCTGTGTATTTTGAGTGCCTTCCAACCTAGGGGGTTCGTTTTCCAGCACTGTATCAGACAATGTTTTGCTATTATTCATAAGGTTTTCTTTCACTGGCTAATGTTTTTCAGAAGTAGATCGTCAGGACCTTCTTCCTAGTCTGTCTTAGTCTGGAAGCTCAAACGTACCTACTATTGTGGGGATAGCACAGCACCAGGCAACATTTTGTTCTGTTATACATACAGTCGCTGTGAGTCAGAGCTGACTCAGTGTCACCTAACAGCAACAACATATCCGACAATATTCTGTTTTGATCCATAGAGTTTTCATTGACTAATTTTTGGAAGTAGATCACAAGGCCTTTCTTCCTAGTCTGTTTTAGTCTGAAAGCTCCACTGAAACCTGGCCAGCATGGGTGACCCTGCTGGCATTTGACATACTGATGGCATATCTTCCAGCAGCATAGCAACACGCAAGCCACCAGAGAGTACAACAAACTGACAGGTTTATATTACACCCTCTCAAAGAGCTTCTTTCTCTTTCTCAGCCACATATTTGATAATCTCATTGAATTAAAAAAAAGAAAAAAAACCTGGTATAGGCCATATCTTGGTACTAGAGTCATAAGCATACAGCTCTCCCCTGTCAATCCACCCCTCTGTATTGCCTACTCTGTTCCTCTGCTCCCATTCTCCCCCTTCTTCTCTGGCCCTCTCCATTCTCTGACCATCTGTGCTCAGACATCAGAGGCTTGCCCTACACACTTAGCTCCACATTATTCAGGTGAGTCTTCCATCTTTGATTCAGCTTCGCAGTCTACAACTGGTCAGATGACAAAGCAGATTATCTACAATTTTGGAGAGAGAAGGAAGCACCATGTTTATCTAGAACTTAAGCTCTGTTCTCCATTTCTTTCTTTCTTTTTTTTTTTTTTATTTCTTCATATACATAATTTTTTTTAAAATTTTGTTTATTGTCTGTTCTCCATTTCTGATTTACCATTAATACAA